ATATGTTCTTTGATTCTAATTAAAACTCTTAGAAGTCATCAAAAGTCAATTTATCAATGCTAATTGAATTAGGAATGAAAAGAACCTTCTAGAAGAATCTAGAAGACTAAAACCATTCCTAATTGCATTAGGAATGATAAATCTATATTAGGCCCTCCTCTAGATCATTGGGCCGCACATAAGGCTCAAACCAGGCCCAGTTCAGTAAATTGGTCATAACTTCCTCAATATTCATCGGAATTGGGCTTATAATATATCGTTGGAAAGCTCTTGTCAAGCCCCATCCAAATACACTACTATTGGACCCATATCATGGACCAACCAAACTGGATTGACTGTTTTCTTAAAATAAGTTTTTAAAAACAGAGAGAAGAGAAAAAAAATTAAAACTATCCGCAACACTAAACTTTCCACACTTTCACTTCATTCGATTACGATTCGACGTGAAAGGTACTCATCACCGGGTTTGGTTTTGGGGAGACACAAATGGACGTCTACACTACTAAAAACCTCAAAAAAAAAGCAACACTATCTCCACACCGACCCAAAATGGGACCCAACCAACAAGGATCATACCCTCTTGGCTTTTACGCCGCTGAAACGATTGAGAATGCCAAACACTGTTTTCAATACAACAACAACGTTGAACAAGAGATGAACTTCAATGATTTTGTCTATTTTCATAGCCAAAATGGAAAAATGACCCTGGATGTTGTTGAGTACCATATATTGAGGAAAATTGTCGCAAACCCCAAAGAGGAGCAACACCGGATGGACAAATTGATGATGGTGAACGAGCAAGGTGAAATTTTCCCGGCCCACTTACCTAACATTGCTGATGTCGTTGGTAAACCGAGAGTGCAAGCCATAATTGAGGAGATGGAAAAGGCTGAAAATGTCAAGTACGAGGGCAAATCAAAAATCATCCCAACCTTGATGGTTGATAAGATTGACCCTAAGCCAATTATACCAACTAGTGGGCCGATTTACTCCCTTCACTTATCTGGCTTCACCACTGATTTCGGTAGCTACACCGACGATGTCATTTTCCTCCACGTGAAACCTCTTTCGTGTTGGCTATGTTTATCCTTCATTTAGTTACCTTAATTTCGTTACCTTCATTTAGTTATGGATCATTTAGTTATGGCTATGTTTATCCTTCATTTAGTTACCTTCATTTGACTTAAGTTAAGTTCTTTTTGTTTAAGTAATAATTATGGACTATTGGAATATTTGAGAAGAAGCCATTATTCACGTGATGTTGGAGTGGTAAGTAATGCACCTTGATGTTACCCTAAGTGTGACTATTAATGTAGATCCTTATTGTGTCCTTATGAAATCCTTTTTGTAATGTATCTCTAACATTAATAGAGTTGTAGAAATCACGGTAATAGGTGTAAATGAGCATTAACAAAACTAATTGCAGATCGTAAATTTGCTTAAACTAGGAATTTTTTTTAAGCAATAATGAGACGTATGTAAAAGGATTATTTAGTTACAATTCTGCCATAATTATCTTAACAGGACGTATTCTTTTTTAAGGAAATGCATGCTGTCTAATCGTGCTTATGTTAAAATAATCATAACCTGTAGCTCGTAAATGTGTATTGAGAGGTGATTCCTAGAAATATTACAACATTTAATGGAACCAAAATATTTATGTAACTATATTTTCTACGTATTTTGAGTCTGATCAAATCATGCAGAAAAAACCATAAAAAATAAAACTAACATTGGTCCTTTAATGTTTAGGTGAGATCTCCTATGACAAAGATCAATTACTCGGTTTCTAGGGATCAGGTTCTAGAAGATGACCTAACTAGCAGGTACCAATTTGTGAAATTGCTCCGGAGATAGAAGCTAATAAGAGGGAAATCGGCATTGGAGCTTCAGTTGTGCTTTGGAATGGCCGTACGATCACCCGTCCTTCTTTTGTCCTACACTTTAAGGAAATTGTTGCAACTCATAAGCCAATTCTTATGATAGTGACAGAAGTGGGGGCTACATCCACCAATTGTGAGAGGATTCTATCCAAATTAGGCACTAATTTATCATGGCGATTTGATGCGGGTGGAGGTTTTCTGGGAGGGACAGTTGTGTTTTGGGATGCTAATAGGTTGGATTCAACCATGTTCATTGCTGCTGATGACTATAATGATAATCGTATAATGGGGACATTCAATGCAGTTGAGGTTGAGCTCAGTCATTGTTGTTTGAAATAATAATTTTGATAGGACTAGTTTCCTGAATAACTAAACACTCTTTTATTTTGGAATTTGTACACATGTTTCTCAAGGTGGGGCGTAGAATAGTGCACAAGAGCAAGCAGCATGGCGTATAGCAAAATGGATGGTGTGATGATTGAGGATGCACAAGGCTTTTCGTAGTAGTTAGAAGTTCTGTATTATTAATGTTATTAGTACTGAGATTATGTTTCCTGTGTGGTTGTGGAACTATGGTTGGTTTGTGTTGTTTACTTAAACCATTATCGGTTTGTGTTGTTTAGACTTAATGCATGAACTTGAATCGTTTAGACTCTGTTATGAATTAGGACCTATATCATGTTTGTTGTTGAAGCGTAATTGAAAGTAGTGTTTGTTTGTCTTATATAACGTATTTCTAAATCGGTATAAAATAAAATACAAAAATACTAAATTTTCTAAATTCAGGTATGATTAAAATATATAAATGATATGTGGATCTATATATTGATGATGGAAATGTGTTACAAAAAATGTGAAAAGAATGAAATCTATATATCTATAAACAAAGTGACAATTTTGAAATCAGTACAAATAAATAAATATTAACAGGTATATTTTCTTGCTAGTGTGGAAACCAAATTTAATTTTAAAAGATATACAAATTTATTAATTTAATTTGTTATTATAAATATTTTTAAAAAATTATAGTTGATATTTTAGTATGTACTATAGTGTCCATTATTGAATAATAAGTACTACACTAATTTGGTTCTAGAAATAATTATATAATTAAAATTGTTAATCAAATTAAATAAACCTATGTGGAAAAGTATAGCTTTTATAACTCTATTAGCCACATGGACTTTGAAGAGTATCTGACAATTGTTGGCATTGTCAATTTAAGGAATATGGAAATTGCTTTTGTTATATGGACTTTCAATGCATTTGGTATCCTTTACCCGCCAAAATTCAATTCTTATTTCAAGTTACCCTCCCAAAATCAAAATACCAACCCGCCAAAATTGCACTATATATAGGGTGTTGGACCACCTCTGTTGTTAAACCCCCAATCCCCAATAATGGCCAAGAAAAGTATTTCAATCCCTGTGAGGTTGGTGAAGCCATTCAACAAAAAAAAAACCACAAAATAGCTATTACTACGCCCAGGTTCACAAGTTGTTAAAACAAAGGGTTTGAATGTGGTCAATCCATGTACACCCAAGCTTTCATCCCACAAAAGGATCCGGAAGGGTGTGCTTGGTGTGATCGAAAGCCCGGTGATGTCATCCAATGGAAAAAGTACTATTTCTCGAGTTGATGCTTACACTGTGGCTCAAGTTATTGCTGGTAATGCAAGGTTATGAGGAGATCTCGTAATCATTACTCCAAGAAACAAGGTAAGGACTGTCCATTTACCCGACTTATCTGATTTGGCTTTACTACCAAAAGTTGTGAAGTATTTTTCCCAATGGGTCATATCTACCAAAGGTGGTAAGGGAGAATGTGGATTACAACACGTGATACCAAAGTCTGTAATCAAGATCATTGATCCACCTTCCGATATATCCCTAATTGTCGAGTGTTGTAACTTTCCTGTAGGGGATCATCACTTGAAAATCCCTAGTTACCGAAATGATTGTAAAGTTTTTACTAAACAATATCCGTTGTTGGTGTCTAATATATACATGCGTAGTACTTGCATGTCCTCAACGATTTTAGATGGGAGAGAAATGGAGGTACAAGAGAAAGTCGTGGCGAGTGAGCAAGCAACGTGTTGGAGTGGGAGTTGTCTAAAACGGTTAAGGTACATGGTGTGGAATTGTCGTGATATGGGTAAGGAGACATTCTTGCCGCTTATGAGATCTGCCATACTAATGCATATGCCTCATTTGATTATCTTAACCGAGTCGAGAGTTTCCATTCATATGGCACGACACATTTGTGCATTTCTGAAGCCATTTGCTGTGTATGGGGTTTCAAAAACGGAGTCCACCGATGGTTATGCCATGCTTGCTTTTACCAGTCACTTATCCATGAAATTGATAACCTCTTTTAGAAATGAATCTTGTGGGGCTATAGATTTTCAACTTTGATGTACTATAATTGATAGTAATTTGGTATTAGTTATTCCTCAACTTTGTTTTCTTTATCAGCCCTCTAGTATGTAAAACAATCCTAAGTATAGTGAAACTACTTATCATCATTGGTAAAATCTATATAGTACTTTACTTTGCTACGAATTGTTTACATGTGGACTTCAAAATTCTAAATGTACATGAAATTGGTCACACCCATTAATAACAGACTAAAACACCACATTAAATGCCTATACTTTTATCCATTCAGAACATACTAAAGGCTTTGTTTTTGAGGGCCAACAAATGATAACACGAGCCCATATATACATCCCATTTAATATACATAATACATAAGCAGTCCCATAATACATAAGCTGCCCATACCCACACATCATACCTACACACAACCACAAATTTAATGAGCCCAAACCTACACAAGCCCATCCATAATGAGCCCATATTTAATAAATAACCAGTCAATAAACGAAGGCCCAAATTATGTTATAAATAACCCAACAGTCTAATTCTAAGAGTACATAATTGGAAAATTTTATTTATTCTGTGAAACAAACATCATATTCCTCATTTCAGTTGATTGTCTCTAAATCATTTGATGCATTTGATATCATTGTTAATAACAACATTCCTCGTGTTGTAAGGGAACGTTAACCCATTTCCGAATAATACCTCAATTTCATGGTACAGTGCTTCCACGTTTTCAACCTGCAAAATAGGATTGAGACTCATTACAAATCTTTAACCCTTTCTATAAATATGAGCAATTCAGTTACTGTTGCTTAGGAACAGTACTCGGGTTACTATTGCTTAGGAACAGGGCATTTCCCTTTGTGCCCTTAAATTTTTTTTTTTGTTTTCCTGATTTTCCTCTGATCCTCTTATTTTGTCGTTTGAGAACACAAGGCTGCTTTCCCCCTTTTCCTTTGAAGCATACTCTCAGTTAGCCTCCTCCATTGAAGCGTTCCTCTGAGTTCTCCTTTGAAGTGGTTTCTGATATGTCTATCTATTTTTTCGTCGACACCGCTACTGAGGTAAAGATGTTTTCTGATCTTAGGGTTTATTGCTACTAAAGTACCAAAAATATCTATTTTCCGCCTTGGTGGTGGTGGGTGGGGGTGATATGATGGGAATAATGGGATTATGAGTTTCATGCCGCTATCTTACTCTAAAAACCTAATTGTTTATCAATATTCCCCAATTCTTTGCATCAAAATTTCAAAGAATCACAAAACCCCGTCAATAAAATCATCATTTTGTGGGTTATGGAAATTAGTGTAAAATTGATTACCTAATTAAATGGCCGACCAGCTGATATTTCCGGCAGATGCGTGTGGAAGTCTGGCGAAAGAGCAGCAAGCAACAGGATTTGCAATTCTGCTTCAAATTATGATGCTGCTTCTTGCTTATGTACTTGGTCATGTTTTGCGCGGCTGATGCGTGTGGAAGTCTGGCGAAAGAGCAGCAAGCAACAGGAGTTGCAATTCTGCTTCAAATTATGATGCTGCTTCTTGCTTATGTACTTGGTCATGTTTTGCGTCGCCATAAATTTTATTATCTTCCTTAAGCTAGCGCTTCTCTTTTGATTGGTATAATTCTCCCTCTTTTGATTTATTGAACTAAGTATTTTTTAATTAATGTTGATTTCATGTTCTGAAACCCTTTGATTTCATGTTCTGAAACCCTTTGATTTTCCTTAAATTTTGATACTTGGGTGTATATTCAATGCTGAACTTATTAATTTGATAGCCCAGTTGCTTGATCTGATCCAATTTGTTTTATTTAAGTTGATTTATTAAGTGGGGTTTGTTTGATTTTTGAGGTGCCCATTTTTAAATTTTTTTTTGGATTGAATTGTAGTTTAAAATTGAACAGATTTTTCTGGGTTTGAGAGAGTTGAATCTGGGTGTGTTGATTTGTTGATTTTTCATGATTTATAGGGTTTGTGAAGTGTGAGAAGCTAATCTATTGACTGTATTGAGGATAAAGAAGCTGATTGTGTGATAAAGGTGAGCAATTTCTCAACTTTATACAATTTGGTTTATTTCAGATTATTTATTAATTGGGGTTTGTTTGATTTTTGTTTCTCTTTTTAATTTGCTTATATGCATATGGTGTTTGCTGCCAAAATTTATGTTGTCAACTTAGATATTGTTGTTGTGAGTGACTATAGAGGGTAGCTGTTGTTTGTTGCCGCTGTTGTTCCGGTGCTGTACTGTTACTGCTGTTCTGTTCATCCAAAAATCATCGACCTGAAGTTGTAGCTCATAGTCTCTTCATCAATGTTTTAGATCTTGAAAAAGTTATTCAATCTAGGCTCAAGAATTTCTCGATTTGGAGTTATGTGCTAGGAGTTATGCCTTCTGGAATTTACTGCGGTCTGCTACCCCGGTTCTATCGCAGCGGGTTGTTATTGCTCATTTCATGCCTATGTGGTGTTGTTGTGTTGAGTTGGCTGGGGTGCTAAAATGAATGCTTGGGCTTCTCTTATTTATTTTGTCTTCCCTTCCATTTATTTACACATTAGTTATAAAGTTAAAATGTGGCCAATTTTGATTAATGACTATTTGGATAATGACTAATTGATAATTTGCCAAAATGATGAGGATTATTTAAACAATAGAGATTTGATTTCTCAGCATTCTAAAGTTAGGGCCTTATTTATTTATTTGATTAAGATCGTTAAGCTTGCCCAGTTTTAAAGACCTTTTCATATTTTTTTTTTCTGGGGAAGGTGTTAGCTTTAAGAGGGTCGGTTTACCCTATATGACCACTCTCTTTGATTTAATTCATTTGTTGTTTCTTCACTGATCTAGGTGGTTTAGGTAATGAGTTCTTGGAGCTTTATTTTGCTCTTTCATGCTGATTGGTTTTTGTTATAGGACTTTTACTTGGAAAAACGAGCTTGGTGTAAAGAACACTATGACGATTATGATCTTTACTTACATTGATTGCTCAATTGGAACAGATGTGAATTGTAATTTAGATGATTAGAATATTAAAAATGTGTGTTCTTATATACATTTCTGCGTAAATTAGCTTAATCAATTATTATAAGGTACCCTGCAAGAAATTTGTGATGTTAATATCTTATAGATGCTAATCTACTTTATCATACACCTTGTTAGCCATATGAGACCACTGTGTTAGTGTGTATTTGTGCAAAAAGGTTCTTCAGAGATAGTGCTCAGGTTCATTCTTAAGGTTAGTTATATAAAAATCTTTGGAAGTTGGAACTGAGTGGGAATTTGGGGAAGTTCATGATACATCAATCCAAAATGTAAGGCCATGCGAAAGGGCCAGATTTACTTGTGTATCCAGATCAAACCCTGGATAAGCTTATAACTGTTATTAAACGGGACAAAAGCAATAGAGGGTGGGTTAGGGGTCTCTAGACTACAGAAATGATCTGCATTATCTGGGTATGAGAGGTCATTTAGGTATAGGGTAAAGCTGATATGATACATGTTTCTAAAGAAACTGTTAAAGCTGTTGCTGACTCTTTGAGGATTTCGGCTTTTCTAAAAATTTCCGAGGTTGGTTTGTGTTTTTTTCCTTTGGTGTTAAGATATATATATTGATGTTATAATTATCTTTTTAATATGCATCATTTGGATAAGTTGACAAAATTATTATGATTAGAGTTTTAAATGGTTCATATTGTAACCAGTTATATTATGATAATTGATTTTTTTTTCCCAATTTTGATATTGATATTTTTATCTGTACTTTTTTGCTTTTGTTATAGAATGGGACTTCTGAATAGATGGTGAAGATAGTAGAAACACTCAATGCAGGTAAAGGTCATGTAAAAGGTTGGGAGTCTACTTTATGAAGACTTGGGAGAAAGAAATTTGATTTTTTTTTTTTTTTTTGAACGGAATTTGATATAGTTCATGAAGCAGCTCAAATAAAAGTAATACACATTATTCAAAAGAGTATCAGAGAACTTAAACTACTTGATTTAATTGCATATAGTGCATATAAGATGTAAGCATTAAATATCTCGCAGGACTCTGCTAAAACTATTGATCATGTCTCACAAGGTAGCTTCTTGGACATGTTCCAAATGAAGCATGCTTTTGGACTTACAATAAGTCTTGTGTTCATGGAACGAGCATCATGTGGTGGAACAAATGGTATTTTGCTTTATGCAGCTACAACTTTATAAATGTGGAAGACTATCAATTTTACTGGTGAGTATCCTATGTGATGTAACATATATCCTGTGCTTTTATACTACGTATATGATTTTCTGTATTATTTGGCGATTCAAGGTTATTTGTCGCAAAATCTGGATGTCCTTTGTGTCCTATGTTTTTGTGCAAATATGAGAATTTACTCAACTTTTGAATTATTTTCCATAATTCGTCATGAATTTTACAAAGTAAAATAGCTATGATGGAAGAATTGAAACAAGAACGTTTACATAATTACAGTATGCATGAAGAAGGCTTCAACAATAATTTAAGATGTTCATGGTGAGTTTGAAGCTATCTTATGCGAAGTACTTCAATATCCATTCACGTTAATGGCACTGACACTTTTATCTTTTATGCTTTTGCTACTTTTGTTTCTGTTGTTGAGGAATTGTTGATTGGGATGAGATGTTTCTTATGGACTATACAAATGTGATGTCATCTTGTTGTAGTATTATAGTTGAACATGTACCAATGTCATACTCAAATTTCTCTTGTTTCTTGCAAGTATATGACAATGAAACTAATGTTTTTTCAGGCTGAATACATGCAATATTAAAACTTCAATATGCATTATGAGTCTGACTATGCAGAAACCTCTTGATCTCCAACTTTCAGCCAGTGAATTTAGTGGCCAATGTGTTGATGAAGTTATAAAGAAGATTATAAATGGTAGAAATAACAATAATTGTAAATTTTATGTTCTTGGTGGAATTATATTATTAATTTTTACAAATTCTCACACTACATATTTGGCTTGTGCTAAAATTATTGTTTAGCTTAGGATTAATTAATTCTAGCATTTACTCTCTCTAGACCACTACCATGTACTTAGGTTGTTATAATCAATTCAATCTGATCAAATTTAAAATGGCTAGAGATTTGGGTGAATGAGGCTCACTATAGATGGACAACGTTTGAGTTTTCGCATTTGTCAATGAACATTTTACATCATTTACTTTAGTAGAAATTTATAAAAACTTAATATGTTAAAATTTAACAAGATCTCATTTGATCATGTTTTTTCTAATGTGGAGAGAGAAAAGGGTATGTCGAGAGAGAAGGAGCCAAGTTAGAGAAGAGTTGAAAAAGAAAGAGTGATCAGTAGGAAGATATAGGGACCGAGAAAAAAGGCCCGGGAATGAGAAATTATTTATCTTAAAATTTTTTGTAGATAAAATAATTACATACCAATTTTTTATTCTCAAAGTCTTTGTTAATATAAACCAGTTATTTCATGAGAAATTAGAATATACGGAGTAATGGTTACTCAAGGAGAAAATGTCCATAAATATATGATGAACATACAAAAAACAATAAAAACAACCATCAAAAGTTAATACCGATAACTTGGGGAACCGCGCGCAACGCGCGTGGGTCCACAACTAGTCATACTAAAGGCATCCAGATCCATTGTTGTATTAAAAATAACTTTATGTAACCACTTACACGCTTTATGACCTTATAGTTTGGCATGCTTGAATCTGCGTGAATGAAACACAGTTCTGATAGACGTCCATATTTGGCCACAACACAAACATTCGACATTATAGGAGACTCGAGGACAGAAGATGGTTGAACCTCAGAAACAATGGCCATGTAAGAACAACATTGACTACGTAGAAACCGATTAATGGAAGCTCTAGCAATAAAACCGGCACCATTGCCACCAGCAAAAAATACAACATCACCCTGTATGTTTATTGTTATGGAAAAGAAAAGAGAAAATAACAAGAATACCATCAATGACATTAATATGGAAAACAAAAACACTAACATGGAAAACTAATAAACTAACCAGAGCATTGAACAAGATACAGATGGACCTCCACAATACGGCAAACCCAAACCGTGCATCATTCTAAAAACCTTGTGCGTACAGACAAAAGGTAAGAATTTTTGTTTGAAAAGGCCACAATAACAATCACACTGGCATACTTACCCCATAGGTTATTGATTGTAGCTTGTAAAGAGCTTCAGCCGATATCCACCTATGTAAACCAATTATTAATTGCAGAAATAATAACCAAATATACCTAACTTCATACATTACATATACAAGAATACCAAACTACATCTCCGATACCTCTTCAACAACTCAACTCTATAAGATAATACATCTCCATTTTTCAAACAAGACATACTATGTGGGGGTGAATTGGACTTCTCCCAAGTATAACCGTGGTCCTGAGAACTTAACTCAGCCTTTGCTTTTACTCATAGTTGTTGTCTTCATACATTTTCTCTTATTTTTGGGGGTCCTTCTTCGTGCATCCTTACTCCTATAACAAACACTCACACTGCCCAGTTCTATGAACCTGTTGTGACCCCTCTGGCCCATTTGTATCCCTTGCTTCGGTAGGATGTGTTTCACCATAAGCCACATCCAACATCTACAAGATCACAACATCAACAACAATGAAGGTACAATAAATTTAACCATGTAAAACAACATCACACAACAACAATAAAATTAACCATGTAAAACAAGGAAGGTACAGTATCCATATCATATGTACTTACCCCAAGTTGACCGAAGTCTCCCCCCGGAATACGCTCTTCTCTAATAGCCATACGTATCTCTTCCATGTTCCAGACCTCCAACCTCGGAAAATATCCCCACTATACAGGATGTCTATCGAGTCGATCTAAATATATAATCTATAACACAAAACCAACTACAGTCTTACTTGGCTACACTTCATAACAATTGAGGAGAAAATTTAAATTAAATCACATACCACCAAAAATATGAGACATCCACCACAACCACTAGCAAAGCCTGATGAGTAAAACCGCAGGGCAAACATTGCAACACTGTCCATGAGCTTCTTCAGAACAAGGCTACACCAATCATATTCAGCGGGTTTTACAACACAAGTTAATGATGGTACTACATCCGCAGCCAATCTGGAGGACTAAGTAGGACATAACAACATTTGTAGAGACAACAATAAAAACAAAGTCTTGAACTCTTCCTCATGATCGTCATCCCATTTTCCCTCCACCCGAGCTATTAGGTCACCAGTCACCGGAATACCCTCAAATACGTACTCTCTACCAGTTCTAATGGACTTTGTATTCCAGGATTTACCATAACTCACCATTAACCCATTTAGCTTCTTCATCATATCACCACCCAAAGTTTTGTAAGTGGGAACAGGAATACCCCCATTTGGAATCCCAAGTACCCAGTGAACCTGATTTTGAGATAACCTAAAATGTCCACTGTCTCTATAGGTAAGCGTACAATTTAAGGGATCTATACGAGTCATAAGCCAATATGACAACTGCCTTGGCAGATTCAACACAGATCCAATTTTCAAAAGACCACCAAATCCCATTCCCCAACCCACCTCTTATGTTGGTTATCAACAAAAGTTACGATTCTTTTTAATTTTTCGATCTGCCTGTTATTCCGTATTCACAAACTCAATTGAACCTCGTTGTAGAAACACCATCTTCTTCCTCTCGCACCCCACCATCTTCTTTGTCGTGTTTTACTCACACCCCACCATCTTTTTCAACATCGTTCACCGTTTCGGCGGCGAAAATAAACGAAAAACCCTAACATATTTGGAGAAAGAAAGGGTATGGTTAACCCCAAATGGTAGGATTTGTCTTCCTCCTCCACTGAACATGTTTGTGAGCTTCAAATTCCATTGAAACTGGACAACGAAGGACGATGAAGAACACACTGTCATTGTACTATTACAACCCCTATTTAAACGCTGGCATTTTGGAAGTTAACGGTCCTCTCACATGTTTACAATTTTGCCCTTCCTAAAAAGATAGAAATTACCAATGCACCCTCATATGCCATATTAACTAGACTTTTCTCTTCTAATATGTGCGGCAATCAAATAAACCCTAATAACAGGAAAACTAATAAATCGGCTTGCTAACCACAATCAAACTCTTCCGACGCGACATTCCACCCCACATTAAACCAGTTTCATACATATACCGCAAATAAATTGTCTGCAATAATACGAAACATACCTTTTTAATATGCCACCAACAATGTTCGCCCTCGATGATTCCTGACCCAAAACCATATGTTCGCCCCCTACTGGATGATTGCAGACACAAAGCGCCACCAGCTACAGTTGAATTGATGAAAACCTCCGAGAATTCCCCCCATCAACCCCTGGATTGCAATTAATCTCAACGAATGTCAACACCCACCAAAACGGGGTCAATCTAAATGTTGTGAACGGTCGTAAAAGCTTGGTTGACGACGTTAGTTTAACTGTGGTGTATTTATTCTAAACTTACAACCATACCCTTACTAAAACGGCGGAAATGACCATTTTGACCCCATATAAACGCGCAAAGTTTATATGGCATATTAACATGTATTTTATCTGAAATCAATGTCAACAACAATTTTGCTGGGGTTTTGATTGAAAAAATGTTCTTAAATGTTGTTAAAGTGCAAACCCTTGTTCATTTTAAGATTTTGCAAAGGGAGGATTTATCAGACATGTTGATATTGAAACAAAAGAATGTTTCATTGGAATAACAGTTGGTTTGATAAATTCTGTTGTGTTTTGCTTTTTGGGAATGTAAGACTGATTGGCCAATGTGACTCGAAGAATTCGTGTTTTTCTTGGATGGCTCATTAAATTATCATCGACAATAGTGAGGTTAGGATAAGAATTAAAACAGTTTGGTCATCTTGTTTAGTTTGGGTTGGTTAGTAGCTGTGCTTAAAGGGGTAATTTTGTGGCTTTTGTATGGCATTTTTCTTGTGTTTGATCTTGGTTGTTGTTGGAAATTAGTTTTGCCGAATTAGTAGTGAGCTATTTGATTTTCGGAGAAATTATGATGGTAAAAGGCTTGAATGGGTTAAAATTCAGGTAGTTTGACATTTGTATTATGAGCATTTTGTAAGATTTCGAGTCTTTAATGTGCTTAGGATTAATTTCTATAGGATTTATCGGAGTCTCAGGTATGTATGATGTGATTACGTTTGAATAACCTGTAGTCTTATCTAGGCTAGTTTATTGCTTGGCTTGCTTGCAGTTATATGTGGATATTTGGCATAGTTTTATGAATTTTATCAAAGGAGTGCTTGTAGCTACTTTAGCTCATTATTTGTTGAAGACTAGGTTTTGGAGCATGACAAGCATCTAATAGAAAATAAAAGGCTATTCATTTACACGAAAATTTTCACAATTTTACTCACGAAATCAGTTCATTCAGTTTCACCCTATGGCCCAAAAGAAATGCAGTTTTAAGCTCACTTCTATTCTGAAATGTTAAAAATCATAGTTATGTTGATGTTGCTGCAATGCAGTTTATTGCTGCTAGAATTACTGGATTCCGACTGATCAAGAAACGTATTGCATAATAGCTTGATAGTTTAATGTCTGTTTTAATGTTATGCTTATCTCATCTGCTTCCTTGATTTGAGGTGGGCTTGCCAGACTGATATGTGAATTTATTTTGATCGGTACTAGGCTTTGGCCCTGTTCTTTTGAGCTTCTGGGCAGAGCAGAGCACATTAAATTTCAGTAGAGCAGAGCAGATTTCAGGATAAGAGAGCAAAGCTAAGCCGAGCAGAGCAGATTTCAACATTATTATTAATACTATTATTAATGTTGTTGTTATTATTATTATTATTAATACTATTATTAATGTTGTTGTTATTATTATTATTAATACTACTATTATTGTTATTAATACTACTATTATTGTTATTGTTATTGTTATTATTATTATTTCACAAAAAATTTAAAAAGAAAATGACTTAATGAGTAATAATGATTTTTTTTATACATTTGTCTTAATCATATTTTTTAACCCTAAAAATAATAATGATATACAAAGTACTACTTGAAAACAAACTTTTTTTTTTTTAATTCTTAAATTGTATGAAAAGATTTGAAAAATAATTTAACTCAATGAATTAACAATCAATACTCACATACATAAAATGTTTCTACACATTGTCATTCTAATGTCAAATGTTTATAAAAGAAATTGTTATTATTATTTATTTATTTGAAACAATTGTTATAATTATCAGAATTTATAAATTAATAATATTATTAAATATTAATTCTTAATAGTTTAAATTATTAAATATTAATAATGATAATTATTATTAATAATTATTATTATGATTAATAAATATTAATTATTATTATTATTAATAATTATTAATTTTTTTAATATTAATAATTATTCAAAATAATAAATTATTATCATTAATACAATATTCATTATTATTATTGTTATAATTAACTATTATTTGAAAATAGAGCAGAGCAGAGCAGATTTCTTTTAAGCAGGAGCAGATTAAGGCTCAACAGAGCAGCTCTAAAGAACAGGACCTTCCTCATGCTCACCCGCCTTTGGTGCCAGAAAATCATTATTTTACTAATTACTTTGTCACAAAAATTGTAAACACTAAGGTAGTTATTTTGCAAATTAAATGTGTCTTGGGTTTTACAACATCTACAATAACAAACCCTAAAATATTTTGAGTGTTTATATTTCAACAAAAAAAAAAAGTTTAAATTTTATTAACCGTGCTGTACTTCGTTTTATTTTAGTATAAGATGATGAACAATTGTAAATTTATTCAATAAAGAAGTTGAGAGTTGACACAACCATAAGATGAATGCATCATGTTGAAGAAAATTTTGAGACCATTCTAGTCCTAGGGTTCTAAAAGCATAGCATCTTCCTAGGAGTCTAAGAATAAACCCAATAGAGTCATTGTTTTATATGACTCTAACATGAGATACTGCACGCCCAAATGTGGTTCCTCTTCTTGCAACTCTACTAACAAAGAGAGCAAGAGATTGGAGGAATTTGCTCCCCCAAGTATTAAAGATGGGGAGCCTCCTTCTAGATTTAGATTAACAGCGATGACAGACAATGTCATCACAAAGACTAACAACGGGATGAAAACAACTAAAAGGATACCTAAATCACCCCGTAACCAAGACACAAAAGGAAACACAAATACACATTTCCTCTCAACAAAACCCCCTTCCTTCCTACAAACTCCACATATAGGGTAAACAAACCCCCTGCACTAGCAATTGAACTTCCTAGAAAACCACCAGAAGCACCATCAATCCAACAACCAAGAAGTTACTTAACCTTGCTACCCTTAACCAAGGGCAAAAATGATCAACCACACTCCAAACCCCACATCACATCGACCTCCATATTTAGAGCTACCATAAGAAATTCCAATTTAAGACAAAAAGCCATAGCAAGAGAAACACCCTTACAGCCAAACCTCGGCTTAACAAACTATCCAAAGAAAACATAAAGAAAACAAGACAAACCAGGAAGAACAAAAATAAAAGATACTGACTAAAGCAGAGAAAATACTCACAAAACTACTTGTGAGACTACTAAGAGAAGATTACAAGAAAGATACCTCACCGCTACACTCAGAACCAATTACAACAACCCGTTGTCAAAGGCAACGCAAGAAGAACCGCCTCAACTGAATTTAATTTTGAATTAAGGGAGGAAAACCCTAACCTTAACTTCACCTTTACCGTCGGAAAAAAAAGTAACAAGACTCCTTTCGACGGCGGCGTTAAGACTAGCCTTAGCTTCTTGTTTCGTTGGTTAATTGAATCATGAAATTGACAGTGACCGTATTAAAATCATGAAATTGATAGTGAACGACGATCAAACTTTTCTCCTTTATTGGGAAAAGCTACAAGAAATTCTAAAGGGGGGAGGGAGCTATGCGAGAAACGGCTCGCCGGCGATGGCAAGAAGAAGAGCGTCCATTGGCAGCGAGCAAGGTGCTTGAGAAGGAAGCGGTGGAAGAGATATGCATGTGTTCTAGAGAGAGAATTTCTAGTGGGCAGATGATGGAAAGAAATATTCTCACTTTCTCACTTCATTTATAGTTAAAAAAGAAGAGAGTGTTCTTGATTTTTTTAATAAATTAGTACAATTGTGTTTTTTTTAAATTTTTTTTTCTTTTTTTTTATTTTATTTTTTATTTTTTTTGGTAAGGAAAGAGAGAGTACTTGATTTACACCAATTGTTATATATGTCTGGTCAAACGGTGCGGTTACTTCGTTAGTATTATAAGGGTTACGCGGTCACTCGTTCAGTGTTATAGGGCTAAAGGTTATGCGTTCAGTATTGTAGAGGATACTTAGTCAGTGTTATAAATAACATAGAGTGGTCAGCTGCATACAAAATGTGTTGCTATAATTAACCCACTTTCACCAAAATTGTTGGATGAGAACCCAAACCATTAACCCAAAATCGATCCCTAACCCTTTGGTTCATGTTTTGTTTCTTTTTAGGACCAAATAGAGCTTGAAATTGGCAAAAAATGCCAATGTCTTGTTTTACGTGTCAACAAATGTCTCGATTTGCATGTCGTCGTTTTTAGAGGCATTTTGGGCTTTCTTTCCCTATAAGAACCTGAATAGGTAAAAAATGTAAATACCTCGTTTTGTGTGTCAACAAATGTCTTGAATTGTATGTCGTTATTTTTAATCGCGAAAATAACACAATGAATATTTTGAGGGGGTATTTGGTCCCATACAGGATCCTAATTGATCTTGAAATTGGCAAAAAAAAAGTATCATAAATGACAAGTATAACGAAAATTGCGTGTCTAGAAGTGTCTCGGTTTATGTGACGTTATTTTTTTTTTCTATATAAGTAAATTTCTCAGTTGAGGTTTTTGGCCCATAAGAATTCAATTTGAGATCAAAATATGAAGAAAAAAATTAAGCAATTTTCTAAGCTTGCACACAAATTAAGTCATTAATTGGTTTTTATCTAAATTTAATATTTATACATGTCAAAATAGCTATTATCATATCCAATAATGATAACTAGTTAACTCATAACTCAATTTCGATCTGATTTGAATACGTGTATGAGTCAACCTAAGTCATCATATTCGAATTCGTGTTTGAGTCAATCTGAGTCATCTGATTTGAATTCGTGTATGAGTCATAAATTGTTTGTACAATATACCTAACAAACCCAATTCATTATAACCTGACTTGATTATAACCTAAATCATCTGATTTGTGTAACCTATTATTGAATTAACCCACCTTGTTTTATAACCCTTATTTATTGTGAGCTTTTGACCAAAAATCTCCGGACTTTCTACAATGCTACCCAAATTAACATAATGTGTTCATGATTAGACCAATTACGACACGATATAAATTAAAATCAAAACTCAGAGTAATTGG